TTCCAATTTGGATATAGGGTCAATTCTATCTATATATTCACTATTTTTTTAAATTGAAATATAGTCAATGTGTCCATTTCTGGTGTACAGCATAATGTCTCACTCATGGAGATATATATATATATATATAAATATATATATGTTTCCATATTCTTTTTCATCAAAGGTTATTATAAGATATTGAATATAGTTCCCCATGCTATATAGAAAAATTTTAAATCTATTTTTATATATAGTGGTTAACATTTGCAAATACTCACTGCTTTTAAAGAACTTTCCCTAAATTTCCTTAACCTGAACTAAATCATAGCTGTCCCCAGAGGATGCAAATTACTCTGAAGTCCTCTTCCTTGAGAGCTTCTTATTCTCCTACATTTTATATAGGAGAAGGGCAGAGGTCTAGCCAGCATTCTCCTAATTCCTCAATGATATTTTCACGATATAGTTCAATTATTGCTGGAGGCTCACACATCTGACTATAGTACCTTCTCATCACCTTGTCTATTACTAACCACTCCCATGGCTGTAGATTAGAACTTGGTCTCATCTGATATTATTCCACTCAGAAGTTGTAAATTTTGAATATTCCTTTGAAACATCAAAATAAACTAGTACAAGGATTCAAAGACAAAAATTATAAAATCAACTGTAACTAAGATCAACAGTTAAGGGATAAACATGAAGATGTAAAATATGATGTCAAAAAACACAAAATGTGTGGCAGGAACTAAAAACATCTGTCTTTTAGAATGTGTTTGAATGTAAATGATTATCAGTTTAAAACAACTAGATACAGGCCAACATGTATAAATGCAATGTTAAACACAAATCAAAAATCTGCAACAGATACACAAAAACTAGAGAGAACAGAACACTAGCTTGCCACAAAACAAAATTAGCAAACCAAAAGTAGAAAAGAACAGAGAAGAACTACAAAACTAGGCAGAAAATAAGTAACAAAATGGCATAAGTTCATACCTATCAATAATCACTTTAAATGTCAACAGACTAAATGCTTCAATCAAAAGACACAGGGCTGCTGAGTGGACAAAAATGATAAGACCCATGTACATGCTCTTTACAAGAGACTCATGTTAGAGCTAAAGATACACAGACTGAAAGTGAGAGGCTGGGAAACGATATTTCATGCAAATATAAATGGCAAGAAAGCTGAGGTAGCAATACTCATATCAGACAAAGCAGACTAAAACGAAGTCTATAACAAAAGACAAAGAAAGGCATTATATAATGATAAAGAGATCACATAAAAAAAAGGATATAGTATTTGTTAATATATATGCACCTCATACAGGATCACCTAAATTTATAAAGCAAATACTAACAGACAAAAGGGAGGAATTGACAATAATAGAATAATAGTAATGGAGTTTAACGCCCCACTTACATCAATGGACAGATCATTCAGACAGAAAATAAAGAAGGAAAGACAGGTCTATGACACATTCGACTAATTAGACTTAATAGCTATCTATAGGACATTCCATCCAAAAACAGCTGAATACACATTCTTTCCAATTGCACATAAACCGTTATCTAGGGTAGACCACATGCTAGGGCACAAAATAAGTCTCAGTGAGTCTAAGGATATAGAAATTGTACTGAACATCTTTTGCAACCAGAATGCTATGAAACTAGAAGCAACGTATAGGGGAAAAAATGAGAAAAATACAAAAAAACTATTTGGAGACTAAATAACATGCCACTAAAAAAACCCTCAAGTCAGTGAAGAAATCAAAGAGGAAATCAGAAAATACCTCAAGACAAATGAAAATAAAAACACAAATTTTCAAATCTAAATGCAAAAGCAGTTCTAAGAGCGACATTTCAAACAATACAGGCCTACCCCCAAGAAACAAGAAAAATCTCAAATAAACACACCATCCTACCATTTAAATGAATTAGAAATAGAAGAATAAACAAAGCCAGAAGTAAGCAGAATGAAGAAAACAATAAATATCAGGGAAAAATAAATAAAATAGAGATAAAGGATAGAAAAGATCAATGAAAGCAAGAGTTGTGTTTTTTAAAAAGATAAAAAAAGTTGATAAGGCCTTTAGTCAGGCTCATTATGAAAAAGAAAAGAGACAGAGGACCCAAATAAACAAAGGAAGAAATGAAAGAGGAGAAAATACAACCAGTATCACAGAGATTTAAAAAACAAT